AAAAATTAATTATATACTTTCAATTTTATTGAATGTATATTAAGTCAGTAGTTCAACATCTTACTGTGACCGATACGGCGCTGATTTCAATGTTTAGTTTGATAATGTTCGATCCTATCTATCGTTTGTTTATAATACGCAGCCTACGAAAATGCGTAATTCTCTCTATATATGTCGATTATTGCGAAGAGTGTTGCTAAGGTCTCGGTAGTCTAAAGGCTCAGGACGCTCGCACGGAATGCAAGAGATCCGGGTTCGACTCCCGGCCGAGGCAATATTTTTTCGCAATAAAATTATTACAGTTTTAAGATTGGGAAGAAATTGGGGGGATTTATTAGTTTCAGATTTATTGTGTGAATCCGATAATTTCATCGGCTCTCAATTTATGTCTGAAAAAATTAATTATATACTTTCAATTTTATTGAATGTATATTAAGTCAGTAGTTCAACATCTTACTGTGACCGATACGGCGCTGATTTCAATGTTTAATTTTAAAATATTTTGCAGAGTTCTTTATGAGTATTTCAGAGTTCATATTTTAAAGATATTTTTCAAAGAACTCTTAAAGATGCCTTAAAGTTGTCTCATGCGTCGATTTTAAACATTCTGCTCATTGGGTAATAATTGTGAAAATTGCAAAATGATAGAGGAACCTTTCGGTTCAGTTTAATCCGCTCTATCTGCATAGAAAAATAGTTCCAAATATTTTGAGATATCTTATATAGTCCTAAAATACAAATATTCTGAGACACCTTGTATAATCCCTATAATATACAGTGTGTACACAAAATGCTATAACAACTGACTGATGTAATTCAACGTGAAAATCTAAGATAATTTTTCCATAACTCCAAAAACTGAAAGTCATGTGATAAACAAGGTGATGACTCAAAAAAGTCATGAGTAATCATATATTTTCCTTATGTAGTCAGGATTTTTTTTTACTCGATATGGAACGTACCTCGTTTATTAACTATTATTGTGGCTTCCAATTTTTAGGAGTTACGAATTATTCTCTCAAGTTGATATAGGTACCCATAGGAATGCGGAAAAGACGCAGGCTACACTTTGACATATATAAACATATAGGTGTACATAGGATAGAGGAGATGTGTATATGTCATCTTATGATAGCATAAGTATTTTCAGTCCCCATGGAGCACCTTTATTTTACGTATGCTAATATGTTATTGTACGTCAAACTGGTATTCTATAGACCTTTTAGTTCTCATGAGGTATCTGTCCACAATCCTGTGGGTACATATATTAACCTATTTGCATTGCTATGAATATCCTACCTATGTATGCCGCGCAAATCTTATAAGTAACTACACAAGCTCCTATAGAATTCTATAGTTCTCATTTTATAAAAACTCATGGAAAAACCCATGGGAATTTGCAGTAGAGTATTCTACAGTCCTTACGCACCATGTGATTTCATCCTCAGAATAATGTTAGAAGAATTGTATACCGAGTGTATTAAAAATATAGGTGTACATAAATTCAATATTGCAATATATAGTTTTATTTTATAAAATTATTTATAATTGATAAAACTTAGAATTTTTGATTACTAAAAAAATTTAAGATCGCTAATGATTTTGATAATAATAATAATAACATTGAAATTGAATTAAGATAACTTCGGTATTCTGCCGAAAATTCTTGTATGAAATTTTCATATAAGATTAATCTCATATGAAATTGGTATATTAAAGTTCTTCTATGCTATTACGAGAGCAAATCAATAAGTTCTTAGAAAATCTGTCAAGAGGACACTCGCAGTGTCATGTCACATTACTTTTTGACAAGTAGCATCTTTCAACTGGTAGCATCTTCAACTGTCAAATTTTGAGCGGAATTCATCGCGTGGTTCCATTTCTGTAGACGATTAAAGCGAACAACTTTTGCAAAATGGAAAAAAACGAGTTTTGTGCAGTGATCAAACATCTACATATGAAAAGTTTAACGCCGAAAGAAATCAAAGCCAAGTTGAATAATGTTCATAGCACATCTGCACCAGCGTTTGCGACTGTATACAATTGAGTGAATGAATTTAAACGTGGTCGTATCCACATTTGCACCTCGTTCGGGACGTCCAATTGAGGCTCCGACGCCAGAAATCATCGATAAAGTCCACGATATTGTTTTGACAGATCGATGAGTGAAAGTGCGCGAGCTTGTTGAGGTCACAGGCATATCACATGGCACAGTAATTTCAATTTTGCACGAACAATTAGGTATGAAAAAGCTGTGGACGAAACATGGATCCATTATTTCACACTCGAGACGAACGAACAGTTAACACAATGGACTTCACCGGGTGAACCAGCTCCGAAGAAAGTGAAGACCGTGAAGTCGGCCGGAAAGGAGATGGCCACAGTTTTTTTAGATGCACGCGGTATAATTCATATCGATTACCTTTCGTCGTAGCAAACGATCATCGAAGATGACAATTACTACGCAGCCTTATTGGACCGTTTCAACAACATTTTAAAAAAAGAACGTCCCCATTTAGCGAAGAAAAAAGTGTTCTTCCATCAAGACAATGCACGGGTTTACACGTGCCCGGCAGCGATGGCCAAATTCAACAAATTCCACTACGAATTACTTCCCCATCCAGCATATTTGCCAGATTTAGCCCCCTGCGACTATTTCCTGTTTCCAAACCTGAAGCAATGGTTCGGAGGAAAGAGATTCACCACCAGAGAGCAGCTCATCGCCGAGACAGGCTTATTTTGAAGGGTTGGACAAATCATATTATTCAGACGGCTTGAAAAAGTTGGAGAATCGTCGGCTCAAGTGTATCGAGCTGAAAGGAGACTATGTTGAGAAATAAAAATGAATCGATCAAAAAAAATGTGTTTTACTATGTTTTTCTAAAAACTTATTGACTTGCTCTCGTATATAATCTCATAAGTTTTTACATGTTTTACAATAGCATATTAAATGTTTAAAGAAAATATAGGATATTATATGATTTTATAATATCTCACAAAAACTCATAGAAATCAGGTGTCATGTAGGATCAGACTTATACTATACATAAAATTGATACATTTAAGGTATTTTATGTTTTTATATGATTTTATAAGTTCTTATATATAAGGTTCTTATATTTATACATATATTTACTATCCAATCTGACAAGTCACTTATAATGACAACATTTTTAAC